AACTGCCTTCTAAAAGAAGTTATTGAAGGAAAGATAGAGGGGTGGGTAGAAGTGACCAGAAGACGAGGAAGAAGACGTAAGAAGATGCTGGATGACCTTAGGGACAGAAGAGGATATTCTCATTTGAAGGAGAAAGCTCTAGATCGCATTAAGTGGAGGAACTGTTTTGGAAGAGACTGTGGACCTGTCGTCTTGACAGATTACTGATGAATGAATGAATGTAGGAATACTAGATAACACATTTAAATCTTTGAAGTTCCTCCATATATAATATCCAGAATTACTCACTCACTTTATTCATAGCTCCATATGTTTTCTTGTGCACTTTGTGTCATGCAATTTGTAATTCATATTCTTCCCTCAAAGCAGGATATGTCATGATTGAATAGCTACCACTAATTCTGGTTCAGGAGATCCTGAGTTCAGATCTCAGCCTGGAGACTAGCTGTCCTGACTTAGGGTGCTGATGGATTTCCTTAGTCTCTCCAGGGATATTCCAGCAGAGTACCTTGAATTATTCCATGGCAGATTCCTTCCATGTCCTCTCCAATTGATTGTGCACCAATCACACCATTCATTGCTATATAATAAGGTATTGAAAGCATCAGTAAGTAAACAAAGAAAGAAACAGAATGTTTCATGCCTGTACAAAACAAGAGGCATATATACTGTGGCCTTACATGACCATATAGATGAATGATGAGCAAGTGATTGAAAAGCGTGAATTTTTTACCGTGTTATGATTGATTACACATAATCCTTGAGTGTGGAAATCAACTCTGATTCATTTACACTGGGAGATCATTGAATCCATTGCATTTGTGGAAAGTATTTGAAGTATTATATAAGTACCATGTCTTCTGACTTACAAGGACCTCATATCACACATAACATAGTTTGATGGTTCTGTTGGCATCCTATAATGAATGTTACTTAAACGGTCTGTGTTTTTTGTGGTGGGGGGGGGGGTGCGGTTAGTGTCTTGTCATTTAGAATGTGGTGTTCATATTTGTAAAAGAATCGTGCTCAATCATGGCACTGAATTTAGCTTTTTTTTTTTTTTAGATTACGTATTAATTAAACTGTAAAATTTGTACAGCGTATAAAATCATGTTAGCAGAAGGTGATTGATTGTGTCTGTCATGTTGGTGTCTTTACTCTCAGCTTTACAATATATTATTTTGGGAGCATCTATTTTGGATACTCTTACATATTTTATAACAGATATTTGTATGTTTTGGTTGATTTTGCATTTTTTATAAATATTTCATAGTCAGTTTCCTGGTTGTGATTTTAATAAATGGTTCCCATAGATTGCTTTAAACTTAAACGTTTTGAAGTGGTAGTATTAATAAAGAGTAGCAGTATACATATCATAGTGTGTTCTGATACAGTTTTAGAATTGAATAAAGTACCATTAAAGCCCTTCCTTTGAAATAAGACAATTTATGGGTGAATGAAGTTAACTCAGGAATAATGGATGTATGGAAAGCAATTTTATTAGTATAATAAAAACCTTTACACTCTCATCAACAAATTTTATAGCAAGGGCTTATGTCTCAAGTTTAATCTTCAGACAATCTTAAAATTAGTGCAGAGTTCTCCTGTCTTGCAAGTCTGTGTTTAATAACTAGTAATTGTGGGATTTTTGCTGTATAAAGCTGAGGTATAAATTATTTCCTGAACTGCTTCTATTTATCATAACTTCCAGTATGTTAGCCTTGTTCATTTACCTCTAATGTCAATGATATGAAATGGCCTTTGCAGTTAACACAGTCAATAATGTATCTAGCAAACAGTCATTGGTATATTGATCACTAAGTACAATTACTTTTTCTTTCACTTGATACTACTGACAGTGTGTTGTGTGCAGCCTGTATGTCTAGGATTGATCAGGTCAGACATTATGCTGGAGTCCCAGTGCACGGAGAATGCTTGTTGCACCGTAACTGGGCCTTACTGCTGCTGGAAGCAGGTTGAGGTGAACACTATTGCATCAGGGTTTGGCTGGCTAGGTCCAGCTTCTGCTTCTATTCACAGGTCAGCATCGTTGTGAAGCTAGATTTGTTTGCTATTCTTTAAAGGTTTCTTTAAAATTATATTATTAAGCTTCAAATATGACATGGTGCATCATAACTTTCTCATCACCACTAGTGCAGGGACTCATATTTTCAGATTTAATTCAGTGAACCTCTTTCTTTGCAAAGAACCTTCTGAAATTATTACAATTTCTGCTTTGAAGTGGTCATTCATTAACTGAAATATTCAATCAGAAAATATGTTTGGAATTATGATCTATATTAACTACTTTATATTGTGTTTTTCTAAATGTTTTCAGTATCTGTCATGTTTTAATATTATATCTGTGTTCTGTACATATATTTTCTGAGGTTTTTTGGTGGGGGATTTGTGGAATACTGCAATACTGTTATTTCCCATTAAGTCATGCTGTTTGCTTGGTACTTAATAGCATTACCGTTATCTAGGTTACTGAATTTCCTCATTTGTAACATTTTGTTAGATATCGGTTTATTTGCCTGCTAATGAGAGTGAAGTATGATCAGAAGGTTATTTACACTATGTGAAAGTAACAGTTTATTTTCTCTCTGGGGAATATGAATTCAGACATTGACCTGCTTCAGAGTCTTGTGTAATTTCAAAATGTCAATGGAAAATTGAGTGGCATGTGATGTTTTGCTGCCAACTTAGGTGCCATGTGTGCGGTACTCAACAAATGCACTGATCTACTGATGCATGCCAATTAAAAATTTTAGAGTTATAAGTGGAAAATTATTTCTGGATCTACAAGAGAACTGAACAGTTATTGAACTTTGCATATGTAGCAAGAATAATTTCTGGATTTAATTTATTATCTAGTCCACAAATGATAGGAATATATTTCAGGTCTTGTGTTGGTTAAACTGAAGGAGAAACTCCCTGAACACAGCTATCTAATCCCATGATACAGAATCCTTCTTGAGGAGATGGTAGTTTCTCAGCTGAAGGAGAATCCCCCCACCTTTTGTGGAACCTTAAGATTCATTACTGTGTTCACAGGACCCTCATTCTGAGCCAGATGTATCCAATTCATATGGTCACATCTCATTTCCTTCAAGATACATTTTATTGTCCTCTCATCTGTTCCTACACCTCCCAAGTGACCGGTTCACCTTCAGGTTTTCTGAAAATTGTGACCATCCAAGTGGTAGTCATACACCCTGTGTCAGATCAGGCCCACAGATGTGAAGTGATATTGGACTTAACAAACCAAGATCCTGTACATGCTACAGTTACTCTTCAGTATCAACACAGTAAGTCCTTGAACAGCAGTCAAGAAGCAAACTTAGCCTTATGTGCTGACCACCTACTGTTATAATGCAGTTTCAATTTTTGGAGTTCCCTGGCAGTTCATGCTTAACATTTTGAAAGCCTGGTGTCATGTGCAAGGCATCTGAGGGATTGAGGTGAGTGTTATTGCCTAGTTCCCTACAGCTTGTTTTCAGTGAGCATTCAGCATTTAATTACCCCACCCCCACCTCCTTGCCTCAATTTATTTCAATTTTTTTCATGTGGAACATTAATAACTGAAATCTTTGGAATAATCTTGCTTTTATTGTGCAGCCACTTTTTGGCATAGGTATCATACATGAACACTTCGTGTTTCAATGTGTATCTCTTGTGGCATTTCAACATGAGATTAACATGACTGATTAAATGGTAAGTGGCAGTGGCTTGCTATTATGGCCAGCCAGCACATCTTGCATGAGCTGGCTCCATAATAGTAGTTCAGCAATATCAAAGAGAAACTGTGGTATGTGTATGTCCTTGGTTTGTCAAGTTGCTACCAGTTTGAATCTCTGTGGCCAAGCTGACACTAGGAATGTCTCTTTCATCCACCTGAGCAGCAAAACAGGATTTTTTTAAATACTCAGGTACTTGCTTTGTTTAATGCTGACTGACAGCACCGATAGGTGTCATGCATTGATAACATGAAATATTGCAATAAAAGGCAGGTAAGAACAAAACAATGAAGAAGCTTAGTCTGTCATAGCAGGCCTGTAAAGATAATTTATTGTGTGTTAATTTTGTATCCATATGGTGGCTGGTGAGACACACTTCAAAAGGGAGTGACAGCTTGGAAACACTATATGCATAAGAATGTGGAATGTTATCCTTATTGTGAGAGTGGAGAATAGTGCTTTTATTTTTCATAAGACCACAACCAATTACATTTCCAGCTGCAACATATATATAAATGTAGGTAACACTTTTACTGAAAGATGTAGAGTAGGTGAATAAAGACACATAAATAATGGAAGGTGTGGAGTTGTGGAAATTCTTGTTACCAGTACAAAATTATATGGATCATGGAAAATATATAAAGTAAAATTTTAATTGTAGATATAAGAAGGGAAGGACATATAACAAAGTAAGTAGATTTAACATCCAGAAACTGCTGATTTAGATGGAGACTTGGTAGGCCACTGTAACAATTCAAGTTGTAGTCTCAAAAATCAGAATCATATAACTTAGGGTTTTCATATACTGATTGTAACTAAATGGCAGATTTTGATGTGTGACATTGTATTCATTAAAAACAATTTTTTTGGGGGGTGGTTCTATCATGAATTAAGTAAACTCATTTGGTATTTATCTTTTTTTACTTATTTCAATCAATCGGTATAGTAACTGGCTACAGGCTGGATGACCGAGGGGTTCAGAGTTCAACTCCCAGTAGGGTCAAGAATTTTCTCTTCTCCATATTGTTCTGATGGGCTCTGGGGTCCACCCAACCTGCTGTCCAATGGGAACCAGAGGCTCTTTCCCCCGGAGTAAAGCGGCAGAGGCGTGAAGCTGACCACTCACCTCCAACTAATGCCAAGGTCAAGAAAATTTGGATCTATATATCTGCTCCCCCATACGCCTTCATGGCATAGTGCATAATTAGTTAAACAGAGGGACAAATTTACCTTTAACTTATATTATTTATCACTTATTTTGCATGTGTTCAATTTACCCTCTTATTTCCTTTTAATTTGCTATATATTATCCTGCATGGCATTCCGTCCTGATCACATGTATTGACTTAATCTTATAAACAAAATATGCATTTATGTTAATTCTGTCAAAAGTTTATAACAGTGTAGTGTTTTTCAACTTCATTTTGCAACAGCATGCTTGACTCTTGTGATTTACCTTCAGTTTGGTATGCACTTCATACTTATACTAAACCATAAAATGTGAAGAGTTTTCACTTGCTGTAATGTTACAGATTGAACCTTAAAAATTTAAAGTTAAAATAATCTGAGCTCAAGCAGCTGAAGAAAAAATATAATGTTTGTCTGTCTGATATTCGAGGTTTAGGTACTGTCACAACATACTGCTGTGATGAAGTACTTGATATTAACAATTTTCAGTCTGTCCATTATCTTGCTGCTCTGCATTCAGCTGTGTTCCTCCAATTTCATCCAAGAAATTCATTTGTTAATATCATATAAGTGCAGAAACTCGTAGAAGACATACCTGTTCTAGTAGATGTGGTTTGGAAAGTGCTGTCCAAAACCATTCATGATTTGCTCGTGAGAAGAATGGTTGCCTGTGCCTCCAGTGTTTATTATAACAAGTGACTTGAGAAATATATGAGATTTGAGGTTTTCACAGTAGTGATGATACATGCAGTTGTCTTCTGGGTAGTTGCATGTTGTAGCCTGAACAGATATTGATGTGATAATTATAGAAATTCTGAACCTGTAAGTCAAGCTGTTATGTGTATAACCGCAGAAAAAATGTTCGAAGTAGCTTTGATTTTCTTATTTTGATTAAAATGAAGTATGGGCTTTTATTTAAGGATGGATACAGAGTCCAGTCTCCAAAACATTGTTTTAAAATAAAAAACAGAAAGGTGATAATGCTCAAAATCTCAGTAAATTTGTATAATATCATTCTCACAAACTTTGACCTCTGTGGTAAACAGTTATTCTCTCAGTTCTGTTATTTTTTGGGTTTAAATGTCATGTGTGAGTTTCACATTGGAACGAATGCCCATGTATCATACCTATGTGAAAAATTAGTGTTGAAAGATAAGGAGAAGATTTTATCCTCTATAATAGGATGTTAAAGTTTTGCACAGAAAAACTTTTCATGTGATCATAAGTAAATTAAGGCAGGTAGGGTTCTCATTGAACAAAAAATCACTGAATCGAAGTACCTGTTGCTCAGTGAAGAAAAATTGGATGAAATCAGAACTAGGCCCAAACACAAGGCCTAAAAGTCTTATCAGACACTTTGAACAGGAGATGAAGGTTTAATGTTTCAAGTTCTCTCAATTTCTGAAAACAAATTCGTTTCATGAATATGAATGCTTTATAGGGATGCCGAGCATGTGAATAGATGTATGCTTTGATCAGGATGGACTTTATTTGTAATTTGTTGGCCTGTAGTCTTGTTCTTGCTAGTGGTGTTCTGACGCACAGTGACCCAGCTGGGTGGAAAGAGTGTCAGGCTATTCCACCTGGGAAACTCAGTGATTTGCTGAGTACACTGTACTTGTTCTCTGAATGCATATCATTTTATGAAATTATAAATGAATAACAGGAAGATGACCTTTGAGACCAAATTTGCTAATGATAGCCTGCCTTGAAATAGATGAAGATGAAATTATATGTTTGTCATTTTAGTCATATTAGTGAGAGTGAGCAGTATTTCCCATCAGTGATGAGACAGTGTATGTTGGATGCATGAGAGAGATGGGAAGTTCATAAAGAATTTTGATCTGAAAGCCCAAAGAGAAGAAACTGCGTGGGAGACTAGTTGATGGGAAGATAATATTTAGATGGATTTTAAGGAAATAGTGTGGATTCATGTGGCTTGAGATAGGGTCAGTTGGTGAGCTGTTGTGAATGCAAAGGTAGCCTCAAGTTCTATAAAAGAACTTCTTGATGAGCATCTCCAAGAAGGACTTCTGCATGGAGTATGTATGTGTAGATATTTATCAGTGCTGTATTTGCAGTCGGTAGGATTATTTGATGTTTCTGCATGTA